GCTCCCCAGCTGGGTCTGGATATCCTGCAAAACAGCCTGTGTGTTCCTCTGACCAGCTTCGAGAGCCAGGAGTTGACCCGAGGCCTTCTCCATGAACTGCTCAAAGGTGTTAAATTTCTGAGCACTAACACTGGCGAGAGAACCCACCAAGTCCCGCAGTTCAGCCATCTTATCGTTCTGCACTGGGGCAGCAGGGGCTGCACCTGGCTGCTGGAATTGCCCTTGTCTGGGCTGATATGGTGGCCTCTGGAAGCCCGGTGGTCCCTGTGGAGCTGGTGGTCTGGGATTTGGCCCAGCCCAGGAGAAGTTAGGATGCTGGCGCCACCCCTCATTGTACGTGTTGCTGTAGGGGTCATTGCGCCTGACATTGTTGATGAAGTTCACCTGCTCCTGGGGTGTGGTCGATTCCTTCATCGCCTGGCAGTCTTCCACCATATGATGGGTGCTCTCGCACCACTGGCAGAGCATCGCCTGCTGCTGTCCGGTCCCTGGAATCATCCCGGAACGATCGATAGCTGAGACCAGCTTCGATACTACCTGCACCAAATCAGATGACTGGGTGCCCACAGCATGCACACCCCGGCCTGGTGCTCTCCTCGATCTCCTGGCAGTGCCCCAATCATAACCATTCTCCGCCATCTTTTCAAAGAGTTGATTCAGCTGTGGCGGGGTTTTGGTCAGCATGTTCCCGCCACAAACCGAATCGATCAGCTGCTTGTCCTCCGGGAAGAGGGCGTGATAGAAGGTGCCCACCTTGAACGCATCGTTGAAACCATGATTGGGACACCTGAGGAAAAGGCTGTTGTACCTCTCCCATGCATCCCTGATGGTCTCATCCTCATCTTGAGCAAAATGTGTAATCTGCTTCTGGAGATCAGCTGTCTTGGATGGAGGATGGTAGCGGGTGAGGAACTTGTCCGCCAGGTTGGCGAACGTGGTGATGGAGCCCGGAGGTCGAGTGTCTAGCCACTCCTTGGCCTGCCCCTCCAGAGCGAATGGGAAGTACCTCAGCTGGATGGCATCTGCTGGTACCCCATTGATCTTGATTCCATCGATGAGCTCGTGGAATCGCCTGAGATGCGATCGAGGGCACTCGCCCTCCTTACCACGGAACACGACTGAACCGCGCAGCATGGTGATCACAGAGGTGCTCACCTCAAAGTTGTTGGCTGGGACCTGAGGGTGTTGAATGGGTGACCTCATGTCCGCAGCCCTAGCGGTCCAGTAGGATCCCATGGTCTGCTCCTCGGGGATCACAGCACAGTTCTGCGGATCACCCATCTCGCCTTCTTCTTCTTCTAGCTGCAGCTGTGATAGCTCCTCCTCCGTAGCCAGTCGTGCCTTTAGAGCCCGCTTGAAGTTCCTGCAAGTTCGTTCAAGCTCCTGGTCTAATGGTAGTAGATCTCCCGACTGGCTACGGGTCATGCACTACCTGCACACAGTCAGCAGAAACAACCCGTGAAGGCACACAGGTGGAAAAGAAAAATGCAATAAAGAAAAAGCTAGAGTAACAAATTATCACGTTTCCCCAATAACCTAGAGGACTCCCCGGCAACGGCGCCAAAAACTTGACACGCTAAAACACAACACCTAACAATGGCCAAGTGTAACCAATGAAAGGGACTGCAGTAACAGGCAAGTTTAATTATCAACCCGGGGTCTAGATCTACTGCTTACTCCGTGATTCTCTATTATCTAGCAAACTAGTTCGAATGATTGTTGTGAAAAGTAAAAGCAACAAGAAAGCAGTAAATTGTTCGGTTTCTAAACCAGGCAAGAGTCACTCGGGATTGAGTCCCCCTAGCCCCTTAGTTAGGTTCAATTGTAATTCCCTGGGTTGATTTACTGTTGATTAGACTGCGGAAGATCCGACAGTAGCTTGGAATCTCTTAAGCTGACCAAGCCCTCTCAGTCTAACTACCCGGCAGACGACTAGTCTTCACCGGGATAGAAAGCTGAGGCTATGAACACAGAACTCCACTACTGGCGCCAAGAACACCAGTACAAAGCAGTCAACTGGCTAACTCTCGTATAGCCAATCTCCTACTATCGAATGAAGAGGCTCTAACAACCTAATCAGATTCTATCTATCTCAGGTTGCAGCAGAAATTGAGAAAAGCTGATCAGACTCAAATCAATTCATTAAACATGCATCATTCGATTAAAATCAAACAGTAATATCATCCCAAGTCATTACAATCAAATCCCTAACATCAGGAACTAGGGTTCTTCATACCCAAGTGAGAGAAGGGTTCTACTCCATAGAGAGATAAGAGAAAACAAGAATCGGATTAGTCATACTCATAATGATGAGGATAATCTGCTCTGAGACGATGATTTTCACTCCTATGACGATCTCCAGGCTCGATTCGATGAAATCCAGCTCTAAGACAGCTTCTAGGGTGTGTTCTTCGCACTTTCTCTCTCTAGGGCTCTGTTTTTGCTCTGAAAGCACGATTCTCTCACTTCTGGCTCGGATTAGGCTTTAAAACCGGCTTTGCCGAGTTGCACGGCCAGGTGCACGGCCGTGCACATCACAATTCTGGCCGTGCACCCTGAAACGCGCCGTTTCACTTAATTCTCCCTTCGTCCATCTTGCACGGCCAGGTGCACGGCCGTGCAATCTTCAGGGTCTGGCCGTGCATGGCCTCGGCATGAGGTGCAGGGCCAACTTGCAACCGTGCACGGCCGTGCAGCATTCCTGGTCTGCCCGTGCACTCCCCAAACAGCTCGCCATTCGTCCGTTCTTCGTCCAATCGACCCCAGACTCGCTCCTAAGCCTTCATTCACGTACTAGGACCTGAAATAACACAAACAAGCACAACCTAGCGTGAAATCGGCCTAAAACACAAGAATCAACACCTCAATCGGTGTAAGTATGAGGGTAAAAACATGTGTAAATAACGATCTATCAGCCATGCACGGTCGTGTGAAAACAGGGTGAGGCAGTGCAGCTTCTCGGTAAATCCCACACGACCAAAAATGCCACCATGCATGGCCGTGCACTTTCCCGTACTGGCCGTGCAACTTGAATGCTCTCCGTCGCTAGTCCCGATTTCGTCCAATCGACCGCAAACTCGTGCTCAAACCTTCATTCACGCATTAGGACATTAAATGTCATACACAAGAACAACCTAGCATAAAATCGGCTTAAAACCCGAGATCCGAGCCTCAAGCAGTATAAGAATGGCGAACAAAAACATGTATAAATATCGAGTCATCAGTACTTATAGTGTGAAATTAACCAGCTTCCATTTCAGATTTGGAAATTTTTTGTTTTTTGGATTGGTCCTTTTTTTGAAACCTTATAGCTGCTATAGCAAATAGTATTAAAGCTAACTAAGTTGGATAAAGCAATTCCTATCTTCTAAATTGGAATCGGATAAAGCAATTCCTGGTTTCTAACGGCAGCACGGTAATTTCGATCTGACCTATTTTACACGACCTGTTTGGTCTGTTTTGGGTCGGGGCGAGACTGGCATGTGTACTTCTCATCGACCCGCCCTGTCCTGGCCCATCCCATTATCTACTCGTTCTTACCTAAATTACATGTAATCTTAGTCAAATTGCTTAGGATTTTCCTCTTATTACCTCATATTTTAGCTATAATAAAGTTATAAATAAGTGAAAATCTCCATTCTCCAATAATTTAACTACATTTTATCATATTATTGTTTCTTTCTTGTCTTTTAATGAAAATAATGAATATTTATGATGTTTTTCACATAAATTACATACTCATTGGGTCGACCTGCCCCGACCCGCGCCCATTGATAAATTACCCGACCTGAACGCGAACTGCCACGGGGCGGGTATGGGTATCTAGATATCCAACTGGAACCTGCCCCATTGTCTTTCCTAAGCATATGCAAACATATTTCAGTAAAAAAAAGTCAATACTGTTTTTTAGCCAATTTTTTCATTTTTTTATTAGTTAGACCTTTCAAAATAATAAAAATTAGCCAAACTTTTTATAACGTATAAAAATTAAAAATAATAATCATTGGTCTGTTATTGTTAATTATTTCTTAACGATGCTCCACCTCAAATAAACCCTAAAAATAATTCCAAAATATAGACATTGCCCGCTCCATCTTGCCCATTCAATTTCTTCCCATCCTTCCCATCTGACAGGGGAATTTCTAGATCTGTAATTTGAATGAGGGATTTTGGATCTGAACTTCTGAAGAGGATGAAAGACGACAAAAATAAGCAAAGTGATCGGCATTTGGCGAGGATGATGACGGCTTCACCGAGCCCATTCAATGCCAACCCTACCTAACGCTGCCATCGACCCACGAATCGGGTTTCGTCAATCCAACTCCATCTTCTACAGCAAGCGTGAACCCATTGCGCTACCCTAACGCTTCCCTCGACGTGACCATCTTCATCTCCGCGCAAAATAGCCAAACAGATGGCGGATTCCTGAGCCTCCCTCGCCTTCGCCACGCCGCAGTTGGTCCCCAAATTTGCGGAATGGAATCCTAATCTCCCAATCGTACTCATCGACAAACTCGGTAAAGATCCGATTCGTCTCTGCAACTTCAAAATCGTCTCAAAATTGAGCGAGATGGTGTTGTGTTAGAAAATGAATATGAGAACGGTTGGGCTCGATGTTCCATATCTATGGACTGGCGGTTGGTTCTGTCGTCTTGTCGAAATTCGAGATGGACGAGATGCTGTCCGCCACGTAGGAAGCCAACTCAGCTTCGTCGTGGTTTGTCAACATTACTAACAGAAAAGTTAACGGGAGTTCATATTTGGCTAATTATTAATAATTTAATAGGTTTGACTAATGAAAAGAATGTGTAAAATATTTAATTAATAATTAGTATTTATCAAAATAATTAGTATTTATCAAAAAGTAAGGACATATATCCACCCAATACAAGAACTCGAAATATTTTTGAAATAATATAAACAGAGCATATATTTAGAAATTTACATACAATCAAGATACAGATACACATATATACACAGAATAATTTTTCAGACGACAACTAGTTGGGGGTTGCTAGCACAGCCTGGGACTGGCGTTCGTAGCGAAACCCATTAGCCTTGGAATCATCAGCCGACCAAGCAAAAATCCCCTGCAGCTTCCCCTGTTTCTTCAGTCTGTCGCACGCCTTAAAGAACCCATCCGCAGGGGATAATCCGCCGCTCCCATCACTAATGAAACTTACCAACACCTTCCCGCCGTCGTAATTCGAACTCTGCTCATCGTAATACTTCAGAAACTGGTCCACGGTGGTCCCCTGGTCGTAGGCGTAGAACTGGAAATTCACATAGTCAATCGCATTCCCATACTTGTTCCACAGAGCCTGGTAATGGCTCTGCACCTCGGGGTCGTCAAATGGAGCAATCGAGGCAAACGAGATGACCCCGTTCTTCTTCAGAGTGGTGATCAGCCGGCCAATGCACTCGGCGAATGTTTGCGGGTCGGATTTGAAGTGCTCGTAGTCGATGTCGATGCCGTCGAGGTTGTACTTCCGGATGACGGCGGTGAGGGAGGTGACGGCGTTGGAGACCCAGGAGTCGACGGATGACGGCGTGAAGTAGCAATTGCCGTTGGAGACGCTGTCTCCGCCGAGGCTGAGGGCGACCTTGATTTTGGGGTTTTGGGATTTGACGGAGGAGATTTGGGAAGCGCCGAGGTTGTCGGTGTCCCAGAAGACGTTGAATTGGCCGTTGGTGGGGGATGGGGAATCGGAGGTGTCGTAATCGATGGCAAAGGCGAGAAGGAAGTGGAAGTCGACTTGTGGGTTGACCGGGACGTCGGTGAACTTGACGTTGTTGAACTCGGCGCCTATGTATTCCCGGAAAAGGTCCGCGGTGGGAGCAGCGAGGTTGGGCAGAGCTTGAAGGATGGTTATTAGCAGGAACAGAATCACGATTTGCTTCGCCATTTTGTTTCTACGTTTTATGTGGTGTATGGATTGATGATGAAATGGAGGTTTGGCTGCCATACTATTTATATGGTTCTAGCTACGTTTTGTGATATGGTGGTAAACAAAATTTAAGGTTGGTTGCCGTGAACGTGATGCGATGCGATGTTTCTTTGAGTTAGAATCTTAATTTGTTGGTGTTTAGAATGTTTTGGGAGGAACGCTAAGATTTCTAATCTAAAACATTTTATGTGGTTGAATCTAACCTTGTTCACTAGTGAAATCCCTCACACCACAAGACTATATATGACATTTATGAGGGATTGTTATTGAGAATGCCCTACCAAAGTTTCTACAAACATAAGTATAGTTGATTATACGAGGGGTGTGTTAGACCATTATAAGATTCATAGTCAATTTTCTCCCAACAATTCGAGTGTTTGGGAGAGGTTATTGTATGATACTCAACCAATTCCTTACAAGCCCTCTTAAACGAAAGCTAACTCATTTAGTTGAAGTTTTACCAGTCCCAGTCGTACCATGACCTTTACGACAATATATAATTAATATTGAGAGTCATGAGTACTTGAACCCGAGGACAAACTAAAAGCGGAGGTCGAGCTCGAGACCTAGAAGGAGAATCACGTTCTTTCCTTCTGTAATCAGGAACCCTAGAGAGAATGTGTAATCTAACAAAGTGAATGAAAGAAAATAGCCAAAAGTCAGGTGTTTGATCGAAAATAAGCAGAAAATAGACAATGGGCCTGTTTGTTTATATTTTGAGAGTCGGCCCAGACGAAATGTTTTAGAGAAGCCTGTTCGTTAGGCCCTTGACCCAGGGGAAACGAAAATACAGATGGAACCTCCTTCTTCCACACTCTGCTTCTGATCGCCTTCCCCTGTATCTGTCAAAACTTCAACAATAAACACAGCAAGATTATTAAGCAACTAAAGACTGAAACAATGGCGACACAAGGAATTTTTACGTGGTATCCGGCACAAGGAGAATAAGGATCCATGCACCGACTAATCCACGGTTCAGCTATATTATGGCCATTCGTTTTCCCTTGCTAAATCTCCAAATTTTATAAAGCATCACTATGATCATGATTTATTACCACCTCGGAGAGAATGGAAAATTGTGGCTTTTCCATGCCTATAAAATAAAGTGACTGGCCTGACTTGAAGACATATCAAGGTGTAGTGCTTATAGTGCTAAGGCCTTGTTAGGTTGGGCTGAAAATAAAGCTAAGCATTTTAGTTAGTCCAAGCTGAGCTTGAGTTTAATTTGTGCCTGAATATGGGTAGAGTTTAATACTTGGCTCATATAGTTGAGTTTGTTAATGAGCTATTGTCAATGAGCTATTGTCAAGTTGAGCTCGAATCGAGTTTGAATTGACATTTTTTTAGTCGAGTCGAGCTCGAGCTGATATTTTGTAGCTCGTATTGAGCTTGAGCCAAGTTTGAGTTGAGGCTCTGTTGGTCGAGCTCGAAGCCTGAGCTAGGTAAAAGCTCGGTTCGTTTGCAGCCCTACCTTTTATCACTTTGCTTACCACCCGCCAAATACCAGATTTGCATGCTTATACTAAAAATACTTTAATACAATTACTACTGAAATAATACTAAGTGATAAAAGGTACAATAGGGTTGCCCATATCGTGGCAAAACAAGCCCTGTTATCGTTGGCTCAGCGTCTCATTGACCAACGTTCCCTTCTTATTTCTATTTGATTTTGGCCTAAAAGGGTCATGTATATTCGTATCTGGCTTATTCGTTCTCGAATATCTATAATAAAAAAAATTGGAGAAAATAAAAATCATGAAAGTCTAAAATAATTTAACTATACAAATAGTTAATATAAATGACAAAGATTAAACTCTCCGGTCAACGACTAGGATAAATAGCTAGTTTAGCTATAAAAAAAATTTAAAGCGCAAACTAATCATACGAGTTCAAAGTGGAAGTGTTTGCTAAAGAATAAAGCCTCGCCGGCTTCTCCGGCTGGCGAGGGCTCTTCATCCTGGGTGAGCCTGTTTGCTGTTGCTCCAGAGAAGCGACTCACCTTCAGGCCACCAGAGCGAGTTAATGACGGTTTTAGGATTCCGAAAGAGGTCAAGGAGAAGGGTGCTCTTCGATGGAAGGACTCCCTGGTGGGGCAGTTCGTTGGGAAGCGTCCGGAGGTAGCTGAGCTCCAGTCATGGGCGAATAAGCTTTGGGGAAGAGATGGCACAGTGAGGGTTTCACGATTTGGTCCGCGGATGCTGATTTTCCAGTTCCCCTCTTCTTCGTCGTGTGAATGGGTTTTTACTTCAGGTCCATGGCATTTCAGAGGAAACCCAATATTTTTCAGGAAATGGGAAGTAGGCATTCAGCCAATCGTCCCTCATATCGAGACGTTGCCGATCTGGGTCACGATTAGAGGGTTGCCGCTGGAATACTTGGGCAGTGATGGGGTTGAATGGGTTGCCAGTGTAATTGGGAAGCCACTCTGGACTGATCAGAAGACTAGGGTGGGTGCGCAATTGGGGTTCGCGAAGGTTTGTGTTGAAATTGCAGCTGACTGTGGTTTTCCGGACAAGGCTCGTTTCTACCCTGATAACGACTCTGCGTTTGAAATTGGTTTGGGGTATTCTCATCTTCCGAAGGTCTGTTCTAAGTGTCGAGTTTTTGGTCATAGTTGTGTGCAGGAGCCTGTGCAGCAGTGGAAGGCTAAGGATGGTGAAGTGGTAGGGGATGGCAGTCACGGGAGGTTGGGTTTTGAGTGTGGAGTAGTTGGTGAGGGTGCAGCGGAAGTAGAGAATCATGATGCTGTCCAAGCTCAGGAGGGTGCGGTACATGAGCTAGTAAATGATGAAGAGGAAGTACTGGATTCTGATGCAACTGCTGCAGGGGGTTGGATTCCAGGGCTGTGGAAACAGGTGATGGTATTGATGTAGAGACTCATACTGAACATGGGACTGCCACTGATGAAGGGAAGGAATTAGTGATACAGGCTGCTGTTCTAGACTCTGAGATTAGTGCTAAGGCTTTTGCATCTACAGCACCTCCTGATGCAGAAGCCCACATACAGCCTCTTATATCAATTGAGAGCCCCCCCCCCCCTGAGTTTTGCGCAGATTGTTAGAGGATCACCACTCCAGAGTGGGAGTTCTGTAACAACTGGGCAAGCTGCTGAGACTGGTCAGTCACCAGTTCCTGGGAGCTCGAAATCTCAGCAAGCTCAAGGGGGGAAAGCTGGAGCAAAGGATAAGGAAAATATCCAACCTCCGGATAAAGGTAAGAAGGTATGGGTTGACTCTCCTCTTGTTCCACTTTTGGCAAGGAAAGGAGGGAAAGGAGGGAAGGGTAGGGGTAAGAGATGAGGTTGCTTACCTGGAATACTAGAGGTTTTAAAGCTGATAGTAAGTTTACAGCAGTACAAAAGAAAATAAATAAACATAATTTAGATATAGTAGCTGTGTTAGAACCACGAATAAGGGCCTCTGAGACAGGTGAGTTGGTTAAGAAGAGATTTCCAGATTGGGAGAACAAAGTAAAACATAATGAGTCTGGCTTGGGTAAGATCTGGTTGGTTTGGAAGAAGGACATTTCACTCACAGTCTTGCATTCTTCAGAGCAGTTTATTCATTTCATGGTGGGGGGTGATAAGCCATTTTTTGGGACAGTAGTTTATGCCGCTAATGATGAGAATCTTCGACTAATTCTGTATAATGAGTTAAGAAGAATTAGGGTTTCTACTGCTCCATGGATTGTGATGGGGGACTTTAATGATGTTAGACATCTTGCTGAAGCTTCTAATGATCCTAGGGTTGATGTTGCTATGACTATTTTCAACGATTGGATTAATGAACTGGAGTTGGAGGAGCATCAGGCCACGGGGCCTTGGTTCACCTGGATGAACAAACAGGCAGCTAACCCCATTGCTAAGAGGTTGGATAGGGTTTTAGTTAATTTTCCCTAGTTGGATTCAGTTAAGGATAGTAAGGTACACTTCCAAACTCCAGGGGTCTCTGACCACTGTCCCATTTATGTTGATACTTAAGCTGAATTGAAGCCCATCCCAAAGCCTTTTAAATTTTTCAAGTTCTGGGTTCAGCACCCTAAATTTGATGAGTTGCTTGAGGAGGCTTGGGGAAGTCATGTTTCTGGGCATCCTCTTATCAGAGTAAGTCAGAAGTTGAAGAACCTAAAGAATCTGTTGAGAAAGTTGAACCGTGAAGAGTACTCAAACTTATTTGAACGTGTTAAAGAGAAAGAGAAGGAGGTTAGTGACATTCAACTGCAAGCTCTGGCTACCCCAACTGCAGATTTGTTTGAAGCAGAAAGGAAACTGAGTTTGGAGCTGAAAGTCTTGATGGATGCTGAGGAAACCTTTTATAAACAAAAGTCCCGAGAGAATTGGCTCAGGACAGGCGACATGAACTCAGCCTTCTTTCATCGAGCAGTAAGAGTTAAGCAGAAAAGGAATACCATCAGAGTCCTAAAAAATGAAGAAGGTGAAAAAATAACAGATGTTGAAGGAATGTCTCAAATAGCAGTACGCTTTTATCAGAGGTTGCTGGGGGTGGAAGATCCAGATGTTATTGTTCATTCTGATGATTATTATGCAACCTTGCTGAGAGGGAAGCTAACTGAGGAACAGACAGGTGATCTTTGTGACCCTTTCTCGGATGATCAAATCAAGGATGTTATTTTTGCAATGGATGGTGACAAAAGTCCAGGGCCAGACGGTTTCTCAGCATCTTTTTTCCAGTATGCCTGGCCTTTAATTGGTTCAGAGGTATGTCAAGCTATCAGATACTGTTTTGAACAAGATAGAATCCCTAGACCTATAAGTGCAACTGTTTTAGCTTTAATTCCTAAAGTTGCTAACCCTGATGAAATGAAGAGTTTTAGACCAATCTCTTGCTGCAATATCCTCTATAAATGCATCTCCAAACTTATAGCAAACAGATTCAGCCCTCTCCTTCCCTCACTGATTAGCAAAAATCAGACTGCTTTGTAAAAGGAAGATTGATTGG